CCTCCCTCCGCTGCTGAAAGCATGTTTCTGGCCTTTGTTTACCTTCTGTATTTGAAACAATGTTTCGTCCTGCTGGCTGAAGCCCGGGTGGCAAGGCAGGCAGGGAAGCTTGGCTTCCTCCGTTACTGAAGCAAGCAAGCCTCCCTGTTCGCTTCCAGCTGCCTGGCTGCCGGCTGCCATCTTGGCTGGCAGTTAATTTGCATATTGCACTGATTAGCCAATGGGAAGGGTAGTGGTCGTACGCTAATTACCATGTTTCTCTTTTATTAGATTGGATGTGCTACTGAAGTAGGTGCCCAACACTATTTATTAAAAAGACTACCCTTTACCCATTGTATATGCTAGGCTCTTTTGTTATCAATTAATTGACCATATAGGCATGTGTTTCTTTTTGGTCTCTCTATTCTCTTCCATTGATCTATGCTTCTGTTTTTAAACCAATACCCTACTGTTTTGATCACTGTAGCTCTGTAATATACTTTCAAATCAGGAATTGTGATGCCTCTACCTTTTTTATTCTTTCTCAAATTGCTTTTGCTATTTGGTGTCTTTTGTGGTTCTACACAAACTTTACAATTGTTTGTTGTGTTTCTGAGAAAATCCCATTGGAATTTTGATAGGAATTGCACTGAATCTGTAGATTGCTTTAGGAATTAACAGTTTAACAATGTTAATTCTTACAATATGTGGGCACATACTATCTTTGCATTTATTTTGTCTTCTTCAATTTCTTTCATCAGTGTGTCTTATCAGTTTTACCTTCTTGGTTAAATTTATTCCTAGATATTTTATTCTTTTCGATACAATTGTAAATGGGATTTTTTTCTTATTTTTTCTTTCTGATAGTTCATTAATGATTATCCAATTCAAAGCAGAGAGAAAAAGACAAATACCATAGATCTCACTTATAGCCCTAGCCAGTTTGGCTCAGTGAATGGATCTTAGGCCTGAGGAATGAAGGGTCTTGGGTTCAATTCTGGTCAAGGGTACATGCCCGGGTTGTGGGCTCGATCCCCAGTAGGGGGCGTGCAGGAGGCAGCTGATCCATGATTCTCTCTCGTCATGGGTGTTTCTCTCTCTCTCTCTCTCTCTCTCTCTCTCTCTCTCTCTCTTCCTCTCTGAAATTAATAAAAATATTTTTTTTAAAAAAAATCTCACACGTGGAAACTAAAAAAACAACAATTCACACTCAGAAAAAGAGATCAGATTTGTGGTTACCAGAGGTAGATTGGGGAAGGGGAAATAGAAAAAAGAGGTCAAATGTATAAACTACCAGTTACAAGATAAATAATTACCAAGGATATAATTATAGCATGATGACTATAGTTAACACACCTCTATGATATATATGAAAGCTGTGAATTCTAAGAGTTCCCATCACAAGAAAAAAAATCATTTTGCTTTCTCTCTTTAAGACATGTATGAAATGATGGATACTAACTAAACATACTGCAGTAACATATGTGAAGTCAAACCATTATGCAGTACACCTTAAACAGTGACATATATCAATTATATCTCAATAAAACCAGGGGAAGCTAATAAGCTACCACAAAAAATAATGTAGAATTTTAGCTATTTCTCATATGACCTCAACATTAGGAACATGCATTTCATAAAAATCAACAACTCACATGCAATTTTAGACACTATAGACTGTGAGGGCGCCTGGGAGCCTTCTCTTTTTCTCATGTTGGCAAAAAACACATCCATTATTTGAGGTTGAAAGATAACAACTTTAACTTTTTTCATAGACCGGACAAGTCCTTTCTGGATAAAGTCTTCAATGGCATCCATTATGGCTTCAGCAACCTTATCTGGGTCTTGTTGAGCACGTCCTAGAAAGGCAAATAAAAATGACTGGAAAAATAGAGACACAATTGGAGAAGGCTGAGGAAGAAATTCGGGATTCCAATTCTCAGAGAATGCATCCACACACCCCAAATTTTTCACTTCCATGTACTTTTCTAACAGCAAACACCTTTTAAGCCCTAGATGCAGTGGGGAGTTCTTGTTCCAGGATGTCAAGAAGCCAACAGCCAAACAATGAAAAAAGGAAATCTAACTTTTGATGTCTGATGTTCATATCTGCTCTATTTAGTGGAGTCCAGCTCATTGTGTTTCTCTGTGTTACCAAGCACAGTTAATCTTTCTTGGCTCACTAGTGTTCTCAAAATATCCAAAGTAAAAGATACTAATACATATTGAATTATTATGCTCTTTAAACACAACAACAACTTTTTTTTTGCTTAATCATCACTTGACTTTACAATTTGTCGTTTTCCTTTGGGGTCTTGATTTATGCTAAGATAATTTAGTAAGATGCCTAGAGTTCTAAGCTCTTTGTTGTTATATATACATTTTTACATGCAAGTTATGTTGAACCTCCAGGACGTCTCTCTTCACACACTTGGTGAGATTTTAGCTGACTAGCAGGAATTAAGGTTGCCACCTGAGCAGGTCGTCTCCTAATTAAGCATGCCCCATACCCCTTTTCCTCCAGCTGACTGCCTTGGTAAGATCATGGCAAGTTCCTTGAAAATTCTCATGAAAAACCATGGAAGCAGTCCCATCTGAACAGCAGCTGTCACATTGGGTGGGGGAAGAGCAGGTAACAGTGGAGAAGTCCCCTGACAAACCTGGTGTGATAGACTAAGGGCCCACTAGGTTTATCCCCATCGATGGTGCCCACCATTACTGCAGAAATAAGAGTAGACCTCTGTGACTTGGCTCTGTAGATGATTGTAGGAATGAAGAAAAACCCCACATAAAACTAACCATGAAGGTTTGTTCAGGTGTTTTGCTTTTGTTTTTAATTAGATGAGCTGGGAAAGAAGGGAATTCTCCTTTGCAAAGCTGTGGTTATCTCATGATATTTGGAAGAATATAAACAGGAGTGTTTAGATACAGTCACTCACTTTCAACAAATATTTAATGTGTCCCATCAAAAGCTAGATGCTTATCTAGGCACTTAGGATACAAAACATATAATATGTAAAGATGAATGGTGTTCAATAAGTGAAGTATGGAAAATTGAAGGAAAGCCTAGAACTGTGTAATAGGGGGTGTGATATGTGCAACCTCACCTGGTGTGCTCAGAGAAATAGATCTGTTTTTGAGAAAAATAAGTCTGGAAGGCCCACCATGCCAGTGGTGGGGGTATAGGAGGCACTGGGGCATAGAACCCATATCTAGATACGAGGCTATAATAAAAGGCTAGGCGAAGACAAGAACTAAATAAAAAGGGGACTAAAATAAGGAGATATTTAGGAAGTAAAGTCAGGAGGACCTAGAGACCAACTGCCTGTATACTTGACCTTTTGTTCAAGTACACATGTACCTCTTTTGCCCCCTGCACACCTTCATGTGTATATCATGGGCACACAGTACTGCAGTTGTTTGCTTACATGTCTGTCTCACAATTAGCTAGGTGGTTCTTGTGGAGTGGATCTTTTTTTAAGTCATCTTTCTATCCACCAGGCATCAGCATGGTGCCTGGCACATGGCAGTCACTCAGAAAACATTTAGTCAAACTAATTAATAAACTAATAAACATGGGAGTGATAAAGATGGCAGAGTCAAGGAAGCTAGATAGAAAGTGATATAATCAGGGACATAACAGGAAGGTAAGGTTTTTGGGGAGAAGACAGTGAATTGGGTTTGGAGTTTTCATTGAACTTGAGGTGCTTGCAGGAATCACTGACCACCCATTCTCTCACTGAGGGCAGATATCTGTAGGTACTAGGTAGAGGGCTTCCTTTATGGCCAGAAGCTGTCTACATCCCTCCCAGTCAAACTCAACTCATAAACACCACTAAGGGAGAAAGCATCCCCATCTATTAGTCTAAGGACCAGCTCAGGTGGTGATAGAGATAAGCAAAGAAGATAAGCAAGGAGAACCAGGTAAATTGCAGGTTCAGAAAGTGACAAGGATGGGTGAGTTTACTGAGCCTAAACTTCTGGAGGGCCTACCAGGCCAGTGCAGACATTCAAATTTAGATTCCAGTGACTGCCTTGGGGTGAGGAAGCTGCCCTTACTTAGACTCAGCACCACTACAGTAATTATATAACCATTGTTGTGCTGTTGAGCTAAGAAACGCAAAACAGAAAGATGCAAAATCAGATGCTGAACCTACTCTGATGGTTTACAAAGCAAAATGTCTGCTTTGTCAAATAAAGCATTTCATGCCAATAAGAGACTCCTGAAATACTACCTCTGATGAATCTTTTTTGCTTACCTTCTATTTTTAACCATGATCTCACTTTTCACTTCACTTCTTTCTAGTTCTCTATGAGTGGAATTCTTTAGTAAAATGTATGATTTTAAGATTAATATGTCATCTCCCTCTCCACAGCCTCCCACATTCAGCCTTCCAGTTATACGTTAGGACCGAAAAACAGCATCGTGCCTTACCTAGACGAGAACATTCTATTTCCACATTTTGTCCAGCCTTTTCCAAAATTGCTTTGGAGACCCCTACATGAGAACATCAACATATTTGCAAACATGAATAAAAAATCAGTACAGTTCATTTAGATCAGAAAGATTGCCTCATTATCTAAATGCTTTCCCCATCATTGAAGGAATCTTACAACCTGGACATTTCTGATCAAAAGAAGAAAAATTCATGAAAAAACTGTTACCAATTATAAGAAACCATGTCAAAATAATGTTAAAATTATTAATTCATACTACTAAGCCAAAGTTGTGGAAACCAGTTTGGCTATAACAACTGTAGAATAGTTTGGTTATAGAAACCCTCCTTCAAGGGATCTACTGTGACCATTACTGTAGCAAAAGTCCTACAAGTAAAGTACCTGCTTTGTGATCAAATGTCTTTGTTGTTGAATTCACAATCACATCTGCTGCTTCTTTAGCAATATCTCCAGTGGCCACCTGGAAGGTGATGGGGCCAATTTTCATTTCATACACTCCTGAAGCAGGGCTTGTAACAGTCCCATACAAACCTAAAAAGAAAAAATGGAGTTAATAATGAAGTTAACAATAGCAAGAATGACTTAAATCTCATGATCCTCACTTATGTCCCGCCCATACTTCCTCTCCCTCTCCACTGTTTCTCTGGCCTTTAACATGGTCCTGACCCTTAGCCCCATGGATAGTCTATTTCTGAAAAAGCATTATAAAATATAAAAAATATCAAACACGGGCTTCAGGTGCTGGCCAAGGTGAAGTCAGCCCGTGAGAGCCTATCTCTCTAATTGATTACAACTAAAACAAGGGACAAATACAATATCTACTAAGTGAGGACTGAAAAGTAAGCAACAACAGGCATATTGGGGAGGGGAGTCAAAACCTGAAGAGGCAACCTGTAAAGAGGGAAGTTTTGAAGTTTTCTTCCTTTCTCTTTCAGCTTTGACACAAGGGTGGTTAGTTGTGGAACTGCACAACAAGCACAGGTATCAAAACTCTCAGAAGATCCCTGTGGCCAGAAGATTGAGAAAAGGCGGCCCTGTGAGCTGAAGAGTATGGAAAGGATCTTCCTTATTTTCCACATTTATTTTTTTTAAATCCAGGCCCTATCCCTAAGGTGACCCCAGTTGCAGAACTACATAGTGGCACCACAGGGGATTAAAGCTCTTAGAGTTCTGTATTTTTGTCCAGAAGATCCAAGGAAAAGGGTCCCTGTGTCTGAAAAGTGTACAGGGCTGTGTGTGGGAAATCCTGTTATGTTTCTCTCTTCTCTCTCCCTACTTTGCCCGAGGACAACCCTGATCACACAAAGTTATGCAGCAACAGAACAGGCAACTTAAACTCCAAGAGAACACTGTCTCTCTGGGGAGAGGCCTATAAAATGGGCTCCTGTAAGCCAAGAGTGTGAGGGGAGTTCTGCTGAGGGGTAGCTGGAGAAGGTGGACCGCTGTTCTGTGAGAAATGGGACTAAATCCT